GGAAACGTCAGCTCAACTCATATCATTGTGGGAAAATTCTACTACCAGTCCTTCCTCACCTTACACGAAACAGGGTGAATACATCTCATTACAATGATTTACTGGTAGTCTCGAAACCCTACTTTCTTACAAATAACTACAAATAGACAGGATTGCATGTAATTTTGTGCAAAGTTCTATAGACGAGCATGGCATAGCTCACAGCAGAATTAATCGTCTCCATACAATGAATAATTATCACATGCAATTTCAATAGTTATGGGCAATGCATATACATGTAGGAATATAAACAAAGATATCGATAAAATTCTAAATAAACGCCAAGCCTGGGAAGTTCTACTGGCCTCCATTTGGAAGATTGTGAGTGTTGTTAAGCCAATGGGGTACACGTTAACAACCAAATCACAAGTCTTCCAACTTCAGCCAGAAAATTATCACGATCTGACAGCCGATGCAATTTAGCCGTCTCAGAGAATGGGCTATGATGGGACCTGAGCCGAAGAAAGAAACGGTTGTACAGACCCACACCATCCATCGGTCGAAAGCAAGTCCACTGGTACTGTCTGTCTATCCGAGTGTCCATGCCTGCCTGTCTGTGTGCGTCTTCGTGTGGGCGTCGTCTGGACGTCCGGTCTGGAAGCGCCAGTCAAAGGGAATATGGCATAGAAACTCCTGAGGGGTCTGGCCGGCTGAGAGGCGAGAAGGTGAAGCGGAGCAATGCCTTCGAATGTACGCCAGGTGCCTGGAGGAGCTGGAACTGCTGACCAGACCAGGTTGACGCCTCTAGCGAACTGAGGCAGAAGCCCAGCCTTGGCCGTCTGACGCGATGGGAGGGAATAGGCTCAGCAATGAGGGCGAAAGGAGCGAAAGGAGCGAAAGGAACGGCGAGAATGGGAGAGACTGGCCGACAGACGGAGCAAGAGAGACGGCGAGATGTCTATCGTGTGAGCTTAGGCATCCCTACTCGTGGGTCTCGAATGGCCAGAAATGCAGACCGACAAGTGGGCGAAACGACTGACAAAGACCAGTAGTCAGGGCCCTCGGTAGCGGCTAGGTCCGTGGGAAGAGGGTCGATCCCTGACGGGTTTTAATCGCCTCATTGCGATACCAATCTTGGCTACTGTCCTTTCAGAAGAGGCTGTCTTGCTAACTGACCTAACAGAGACACTACTCAGACACGAATACACACATAGAGACACACACCCGTGCAACCTCAGCTCTGCCATTCACAGGCGGTTACCAGCTCAACACCAAGTAGACCTGTAGCCTGTAGTCTGCAGCCTACCCACAGAATGGTTGCATGGCGAGGCATAGCTCACACAAATGCAGACAGACAATCAGAGATAGACAAGCTCATTAAAAGACTCCAAGCAAACGAATTAGCCCAGTGTCTTGTCGGCATGCCGGTTGAAACTGTGGTCTTCCGGCAAGTAGGCAGACATGCGGCCATGAGAGAAGGAAGGCAGCTGAACAAGGAGGAGGATGATGATGTTGATGCTGATATTGAGCTTGATGATTAGGATGAGGAAGAGGAAGATGAGGAGGACAAGTTTGAGTGTAAGGATGAGGATGAGGATTATGATCTATATGATGATGATGATGATTATTATTATTATGATGATGATGATTATTATTATGGTGATGATGATGCTGATGCTGATGGTGGTGGCGATGAGGATGAGGATTATAACGAGGGGGAGGAAGAGTTTAAGTATGGCCATGAGTATGAGTATTGCAAAAATAAAAATGAGGATTATAATCCACATGATGATGATGCTGATGCTAATGGTGGGAGTGGTGATAAAGATGATGAGAAGGAGGAGGATTTTAAGTATGGGTATGAGTATGAGAATTGTTAAAATATAGATGAGGATTATGATCTATATAAGCATGATTATTATTATTATGGTGACGATGATGATGATGATGGTGGTGTTGATGATGATGATGATGATTAAAATGAGGGGGAAGAGGAGTTTAAGTATAGCCATGA